CCGCTTTTAACGCACTTGCCCTCACCGTGACCCGACGCGTTCACCTATTTCAACAAAATTTCAATTTATTTCCACGCGGCTGTCATTTATTTAGTAACTGTGATTTGTCATTTTTTAAATTATTTTATAGTGATCACTATAGTCTAATGTTTAGAATGCCAAAATATGTTCTCTTTTATTTTAATTTTGAAAGTTTTACTCAGACGATCGATGAAATAAAACAGTGTAGTGACGTGCCTAGTAACCTATTTTGTCCAGCGACAGTGTACAAACGTGCGCCGGTATCGGTGACAATCACAGTGACCAGCTACACCAGAACGGACATATTTTGCATCTAACTCAACCCCATGCAACAAAAATTGATACTATGTGTTCATTATGGTTCATTCCTCCTCGACGAACAAGTACATAAGTGAAAATTTAGTCAAAGACGAGAAAACTGCACAAGAAATTTGCCTTATTTACACGTATCGGCAATGCAAGCTGCCATGCGACTTCCCCTTCTGACGTCACAAGGGGAATTTCTGTGGAGCCTCGTTTTAAAATACACAAAAATAAAGTTGCCGTAGATTGAGTTTAAAACACATTTTTTCACTTAACAAGCAGCCTATCGGCTGAGATAGCTCCGCTGTTAGCAATGCACATTTCAATTAAAGAACTGAAGACATGATTAGAAAATGAACAATATGAATAGTATCAAAGCAATCAGACTTACAGTTTTTAACAAGAAGTCGAAAATATCACTTTTTACCAAAAAATTACAAAAATATTCACCAAAATAAATTAATTAGAGAATTGAAGATATCATCACAAAACGAACAAATCTGAGAGAGGTCCACATGTAGTACCTATATATGTAATATCAAAGCAATCGGACTTACAGTTTTCAACAAGAAGTCGAAAATATCACTTTTTACCAAAAATTACAAAAATATTCACCAAAATTAGAGAATTGAAGATATCATCACAAAATGAACAAATCTGAGAAAGGTCTACATGTAGTATCTATATATGTAATATCAAAGCAATTGAACTATTGGTTTTTAACAAGAAGTCGAAAATATCACTTTTTACCAAAAATTACAAAAATATTCACCAAAATTAGAGAATTGAAGATATCATCACAAAATGAACAAATCTGAGAGAGGTTCACATGTAGTA